TGGAGTTCATCTGCATGGGTTTCAGCTGAACACCAGGTGTGCCCTTTTTCATTAGGAGTGAGGGTGGAGGCTAGGATGATATAAATGCCATGCCACATTAAATTAAAGGACTGAGTAATATGCAGGAATTCCTTGCGATAATGAGAGGGATTTTCAGAGGAAGATCCCAGATGCTGTTGGATCTGTGATAAATCAGACGTAGAGAAAGGGTCATGAATGCGAGCATTGCCTTCAACCCAGCCACTCCCGGAAGAGGAAGAATGGCAGAGGTGGTTTGACTGGCGGGCGTTTCCTTTGTCTTTAATGTCCAAATGTAAGGCTGGGCCCACCAGCCCCCAGGGGGCAGCCAGGAGGGGCCCCAACCCATCCCCATAGACCACGTTTGAGAGAGTGGCTGGCACGGCCCCTTTCTAGAGGCCATTCTTAGCTCCAGCTGTTGCTACCCTTCTTCGTGCCCGGGTGGCCTCTGGCTGGGCCCGTCTTTGGCTCCCAGGGCTGGGGCTGCAGCTGGACTGTGGTTCCTGGACTTCCTCACCCACCCTCACCACAGGGACAGGAGGGCCTAGCCTGGCCCTGTCACCTGCCCCTCCTGGGTAATCTGCCCAGGCAGATTACCTGGGCAGGCCTGATGGAGTCAAATGCGAGCTTTAAAAAGAGGTTCTCCATACCAGAGGGTTCTTCTGCCACCCTGAGGTTGGCTGCCAGGTTGGAGGGGCCACAGGGCTGGGACGTGGGGCCTCGAGGAGTGGCAGCGGCCACAGTGTCAGCCGGCAAGGACACGGAGCCTCTGTCCTGTGGTCACAGGAACAGCATTTTGCTGGCGGCCCGTGGGTCCACAGAGAGGTCCCCACATGGCTACACCGAATCCCCACCCTGGACAGACACTGTGAGGCGGCAAATGGTGTCGTTTCAAGCCACTGTGCCTGTGGTCGTTTGTTATACAGAAGAATAAAATTAATTAATACTTGTTACGATAAAAATTTTAGAATCCAGTTTCCTCCATCCCCGGCCCCGGCCCAAACTGGGAGGGAGCAAGAGATCAAAGAATGGCTGGGACACAGCCTGCCTGGACAGCCGCAGGACAGCACTAAGCCCCGCAGCTTCCGAGCTGCTTCTGCGTGGGTTCCCTGGCTTGCTGCTGGCCACGAGCGATGGGACTGCTCTCCTGGGCGGTTGCTGGCTCCAGGTTCTGGGGATGCCTCTGCTCCTACCCCAGCTCCTGGACAGTTCTCGGGCTGGCTCCAGGTTACTGGGATGTCTGCTCCTCCACCGGGCACTGTGACCTTGGCTCGCCGCTCAGCCTTCAGGGTTCAGGCAGTGGACAAAGGCCTCAGTAGCCTGGTGGGGAACTCACTGCACCACAATACCCTGTTGAATAGGTTTTGAGGAATTTCTGACCCCTTCAAAGCTGTACCTAACACTGGTGTGAGGCAGCCGGAGGCATGCACGCTTCTTATTTGGGAGGGGGTGGAACCCATTCCTGTGATTCTCTGAAGAGCCCTGGATGAGAGGATACATCACCTGGACAGCGCTCGGGGCAAGAGCTGCAGAGAGAGACAAAGCCCAGAACCGACCCTGTGGGCCCTGGAGTTTCCCGAACCCACCACAGTTCTGCCCTGGAGCTGGGCGGCAGCTGGGCCTGGAAAGCAAATTGGCGACGGGCTCATGCACGCCCTCGCTTCTCAGGCTCTGCAGACACAGGCGGAGCTCCCAGGGTGCAGGCAGTATTGATGGGCTCAGAAATTCTGTGCTTTTTTCCTTCTAGGCACAACTGTCTTAATATTAGCAACCTGATGACAATTCCTCATGCTCCTGAGTGCTTCCTTCTCTGCCTGTCTTAACTGACATGGTTTACAGAAAATAAATTACATGAACTGAATGAATATTTTGCACTATTGTAGAAGATAAATTGATTTAATTATTATCTAACTTCAAACACAGTGGAATAAACAGATTATCATATCTATGCTGGCATATTAGAGACAAGATTTATTTGCTTTTGTTTTGTAGAAGATGCATTTTCCCTTTTGGAATCAGAATGATACACAAAACGAATTAACCCTAAACTTCCACCTGCTCCACTGTACCCCTGTTCCTCAATATTCTCAGGGTCAGGAAAGTGAATGCAGGAGGTTTCACAAAGTAAAGCCCCACAGGATCACAGAAGCAAGAAGTGAGTCTACAGGGATTCTGTGGAACGCAGGAAAAGACTGACACATTCCCCACCGCCCCCTGCACTGGCAGGGATTCCGTGGCACCCATAGGGATTCTCTGGAACCTACAGGGATTCCGTGGTACCTACAGGGGGTTCAGTGGCACATATGGGGATTCCGTGGCATCCACAGGGATTCCGCGGCACCTACAGGGGATTCCGTGGCACCTACAGGGGGTTCAGTGGCACATACGGGTATTCCGTGGCACCTACAGGGGATTCCGTGGAACCTACAGGGATTCCGTGGTATCCACAGGGATTCTGTGGCACCTACAGGGGATTCCGTGGAACGCAGGAAAAGGCTGACACATTCCCCACCGCCCTCCCACAATGGCGCATTCACTTGCAGGGGATGGAGGAGGTGGAGATGGTTCATCATTAAAAGACACAAGTGAGACGTTAAGAATAGTAAAATTATGAATTTGCCAATATTGAATTTATTTTCATATTTGCAAAGCATGTGGTATTAATTAAGAAGCATTTAGGCTAGGCACAGTGGCTCACGCCAGTAATCCAGCACTTTGGGAGGCTGAGGCGGGTGGATCACCTGAAGTTCAGGAGTTCAAGACCAGCCTGACCAACATGGAGAAACCCCATCTCTAGAAATAAAAAAGACAAAATTAGCTGCGTGTGGTGGCGCATGCCTGTAATCCCAGCTACTCGGAAGGCTGAGGCAGGAGAATCGCTTGAACCTGGGAGGTGGAGGTTGCAGTGAGCCGAGATGGTGCCACTGCCCTCCAGCCTGGGCAACAAGAGTGAGACTCCATCTCAAAAAAAAAAAAAAAAGCATTTAAACGGGAGGTTTGCAGGCTGGTGCCTCTGAGAGCCCAGGTTCCACAAGGCCATGGAGGTTCTCGGTGGAGTCTGGCTTGGCGTCGCTTCAGCACAGGTTCTTACCATGGGACAAGGGGCTCCCGGCCACTCCCACGCCTCACAGTGACTTCCGAGTTAGGGGAAGAGAAGGGAGGGCAGGGCTGGGCAGGGCGCCCTGCAGATGACCCCCGCTCCCCTGAGGCCCAGAGACGGTGGAGCAGCAGCACCTGCAGCTCCCGCCTCACCTACGGCCTCCCGGGAACGCCCTGTCTGGAGCGGCCTGCGTCCTGTCCTCGGGCGACGCTGGGAACAGTGGCGTCCACTGCCACACGCCTGTGCTCCGGGGCCTGCGACGTGCACCAGGCTGGGGATACTGCATGACCACCGGATCCCAGGGGACCGTCTCCAGCGCCACAAACATCCCTGTTTCACCTGCTTCCAGAAGGTTCCAGCTTGTGGAA